CTAAGAAAAGTGGCAAATGTGATTGGAAAAATAATTAAGACCTTTGTGGTAGTATTGTTACAGTATGTTTTGTTACATTGTAAGCAATTAGCTGTTTAATTAAAACTTGCGATTCAGTCGCAGATACGCCACCAAACATAACACACGTATTTTATTAAACCCATTTGCTGACTCCCCATTAACTGCGCACTCATCATTTACCTAATACTTATTATAATATGGCGAGTTTTGTATAGCGGCAAAAGAACCGAAAAACCGAATCAGTCTATTCGATTGGCTAATAAAATAGTGCAGAAAAAAGTGCAGAAAATAGTGCAGAAAATAGTGAATATCTGATAAAATAGAGCGGAAATTAGTGGACACAGGAAAAGAAACATATTTCAAAAGCGACAAAATTCAAAGTCCAAGTCATAAAAATGTGCAAATAAAGCAGATTTGTCACAAAGTAACTAAAGTGCAATGAAAAAGTGAAGAAGTAATCGCAATTTTAAGCTGGTGAACGAATTACACGAAATAACGAAAGAAAAAGAATTGCAAATTGAACTGAGCAAAGTGCAGTGGAAACGAGCAAAAACAGAAATGTAAAACAAAACGCGCATATATCAGTGAAAAAAAAAAACTATGTGGGGAATTATAGCTGCTGGCGCAGCATTAATTTCAACGGCTTCGTTCTGCGGAGCATTCATCGCAAACTTGTTGTCAGGCAATAAAGACAAGTCAGCAAGCACACAGAATGAACTGAAAAATGAAATTCGTGTTATGACAACTGAAATAAAGACAATTGGCATTTTGGAAATAGTTGGATTAATTGCGGCTTTGACAATAATTTTCATTATCGCTACGTACGTGTGCATCAAATATTTTAAGAAAAAACAACCAGAGGAACCGACAGTAGTTTTTCAACGAATGGAAGCGGGAGATATTCAACACGGGCAAGACGAGATTCAAGACGGACAAGTCAATTGAGGAAGGTCAGCGACGAACCAACTAAAGCAACGAAAGCGAACGTAAATGTATAAGCATAAGTGAAGATTTATTTGAATTGGACATTTTATTCTGAATGTAGTCGAACGTTGTTAATTTTTTTTTTTTTCCAATTTTATTTGTCAATCAAGTATTCAAATTTTTTTTTTTTTTTAACGAGTCTATCAACTAGCTATCAGTGATATGAGTTATGACGCAAATGTGTACAAAATACTGAAAGATAAATTCAACGAAGAATGGAGAAAAATAGAGCCGTACAGGAGAAGAGCTTTGACGCGTGATGATAAATTGAGGCAGTCCTACAAAACGAACATTATTGTTTTATACAACGCGGCAACGTGCTATTTGAAGACTGCTGAACGGAGCGCAAAAAATGAAAAAGACAGAAAAGCGTATCGCTCCGAACAGGCAAATGCATTATCGAAATTAACTGAAGCATTTAAATTATTGAAATTAACGTACAATTTTTCTCAAAGTTTATTCGCAGAAATAGCAATCGAGGACGTGATTGAAAACTCTGTTCCGGTTGATACAATTCAACACAATTCTAATACCGTATCTGATTCAGGTGAGGGGAAATCTGACGATTTGTTTGAAGATAGTGAAAAAGTTGAGTCTTCTGTTAATACTGCTTCTACTACTGGTACAGCCGACACCGCTGTTGTCGAAGACCAGCTTCAACGCCCACTTGGGGCAGCTGGTGTAGGTTTAGTTACGGATAATTTTAACGAAACAGAAAACACAATGGTTCTAGAGAAAGCGGCATATCTGTCTCTTATGGCAGCTCACATAAGAAAGAATTATAATGGTGACCCCAATGCGCTTCAACCATTCTTAGCCACAATTGATTTGCTAAAAGATTTGGCTGAAGATTCGCGTGAATTGTTGACATCGTTAAAAAAGTTTGTGTTGGCTAAGTTGGAGGGCATAGCGTGTGAAATTGTCCCAACTAATCCAAATTCAATTGATGATATAGTTGACGCACTCAAATCAAAAATTAAATGCGAATCTAGTGATGTTATTGAGGGTAGAATGATGACTTTACGAGCTGATCGTAGTAATCTTCATGAATTTTCAACGAAAGTGGAGGAGCTGGCGGATGCGTTCCGCAGAGCCCTCGTGAAAGAAAGTATCCCTCTGGAAAAAGCTGAGGAAATGACAGTCAAGAAAACGGTGCAGTTGTGTCGTGCGAATACGAACAATGTTACGGTTAAATCAGTTTTGACCTCATGCAAATTCGACAATCCGAAGGAAGTTGTTGCCAAGTTTATCGTTGAGTCAAACACAACAAGACAAGAGGCCCAAGTTCTCGCGTTTCGTAGTCAGAATCGACGTGGTCGACGAGATGGTAATTGGAGAGGTGATCATCGAAACGGCAATCGAAACGACAATGGTCGTGATCGTAACCAGAATAATCGAAATCGAGATTCGTACAATCGTAATCAAAATCGTGGACGTTACCAAAATGACAACAATGCAAATCGCAACAACAATAATCAAAATAATGGTGATCGTCGTCAAAACAACAACAACAACAACCGCGGTCGAAACGTCAGACATGTGGAAAACGCAACGGCCTCCCAGCGCACCATGGGAGAGGCCGACGATTAGAAAAGAAAATTCACGCTTTGAACCTAAACTATTCCGATTTCATAATACTAGCCACGTCAATTACAAAGAATGAAAATGTATTTTTGGTCGACACCGAGTCAGACATTTCTATTTTAAAAGAAAAATTTGTCTGCGATTTAAGTGAAATAGATAGCGACGATATTATTGACATCAGAGGGGTGACTGATGGTTTAATAGAATCCCTTGGCACACTTGAGGCCGACATAATACACAATGACACACACATTCCTCAAATTTTCCACATCGTTCCCAATAGTTTTAACATCGGTGCGGATGGCATTATTGGAAAAGATTTCTTAAAATATCATCGGTGCACCATCAGCTATGACTCTATGACACTCACATTTACCCATGATGGTGAAGATATTGAAATTCCACTACAAAGTGGTCCCGATTCAGATACTATTATGATACCACCTAGGTGTGAAGTTGTTAGAGAAATAAAATTGAAAGAATGTGATGGAGAAACGCGACTAGTGAATTCTCAGCAATTGGTAGATGGAGTAATGTTAGCGAGAACGATCGTTAATACAAAAAATCCACTAGTTAGAATGATAAATACAACTTCTAAGGTGCAAATTCTAAAGCTGAATGAATTTGAAACGGAAAGTTTAGATGATTATATCCCGTATACAGCGGATGAAATAAAAAGAAACAAAGAAAGAACAAGTACATTATTGACTGAAATTGCCAAAAATACACCTGAGCACTACCGAGCTAAAATTTTACCATTATGCAAAGAATTCGATGATATTTTTTCTCTCAAAACGGATACGATGACCGTAAATAATTTTTATAAACAGAAATTCAAAATGAAAGACGATACTCCTGTTTATGTTAAAAACTATCGATTACCATTCAGTCAGAGGGAGGAAATTGAGACACAAGTGGAAAAATTGGTAAAAAACGACCTAATTGAGCCAAGCGCGGCTGAATATAATAGCCCTGTTCTCCTTGTGCCAAAGAAGTCTACGAGTGGAAAGAAGGAATATAGACTTTGTATCGATTATCGTCTGGTAAACAAGAAATTGGTCGCCGATAAATATCCGTTACCTCGTATTGAGGATATTTTGGACAGCCTCGGTAGGGCAAGACATTTTAGTGTAGTAGATTTATTCTCGGGATTCCATCAAATTCCGATTTCGGAAGAATCTCGAGATCTCACGAGTTTTTCAACCTCAAAGGGCAGTTTTCGCTGGAAAGTTGTTCCATTTGGGCTGAATGTAAGTCCCAATTCATTCGCAAGAATGATGAATATTGCCTTTAGCGGTATTCCGGCGGGGACCGCTTTCCTTTACATTGACGACATAATAGTGATTGGTTGCTCCGAATCACACCATTTAAAAAACCTACACAAAGTATTTGAGACATTGAGAAAATATAATCTGAAACTTAACCCATATAAGTGTAGTTTTTTCAGAAGGGAAGTAGTCTTTCTGGGGCATAGGTGCACAGAAAATGGCATCCTACCTGATAGCTCGAAACTTACAACAATGCACGATTATCCTGAACCGAACGACAAAGAAGCAGTCAAACGGTTCGTGGCGTTCGCAAATTTCTACCGTAAATTTATAAAGAATTTTGCCATTTTGGCCCAACCTCTTAATCATTTAACAAAAAAGTCGACAGTTTTTCGCTGGGGCAAAGAAAGTAAAGAAGCCTTCACGGCAATCAAAGAAGCACTAGTTTCACCAACTTTATTAGCTTACCCAGATTTTTCAAAGGATTTCATCCTAACGGTAGATGCATGCATCAAGGGATGTGGTGCAGTTCTTAGTCAAATTCAAGACGACGGGACAGAGAGACCAATAAGTTTCGCTTCGCGAGCATTCAACAAATCAGAAAGAAACAAGCCCATCATCGAACTTGAACTCCTGGCTATTTTTTATGCTATAATGTATTACAAGCCTTATGTGTATGGAAACCAATTCCTAGTGCGCACAGACCATAAGCCTTTGATATACCTTTTTAGTTTGAAAAATCCGTCTCAAAGATTGCTTCGTATTAGACTCGAACTCGAAGAATATAAATTTGATGTTGAATACATCAAAGGAAGCCAAAATGTAGTGGCCGATGCACTAAGTAGGATTTCTTTCGACGAAATCAAAGACAGCAACCAAAATATTGCTCAAATAAAAGTAACAACGAGGTCAATGTCACGAAAAAATGAAACAAAAATGAGTCATCAAAACCAAGAACAAGTCACAAATGAAGTAAACAGCCTCAGTGTGTATGAGGATAACAACGCTACTACCAACCGCAAAATTACGACAATCATCGTAAAGCATAATGCCCTCGAAGCGCGCGTGAATAAAAGAATAATATTCAATTTCAAACTGTCAGACATGATTTCATCGAAGCAAATTTCGCTAGGGAAATTCTTCGCATTATTGCAAGTGAAAGCAATGGAAACTAATGTAGACACACTCTATTTACCATTGAACAGCCCAATTTTTACCCTATGTAGAATTGAAGAGTTCAAAAGAGTCGGGCAAAACATTTTGAATGCATGCACAATTATTTTACGAAATCCCACTATTAAAATACTCGATGATGAGAAAAAATCGGAAATAATGAATCGGTATCACTCTGACAAAATCGTGGGTGGACATTGTGGTAGAAATCGCCTTTTTGCGAAAATACGTTCAAAATACTTTTGGAAGGGCATGTCTAAGGATATCGCCGAATTCGTCAAGAAATGTCCTAATTGTCAGTTGTCGAAAATCAATACACACACCAAAGAGCCAATGAAAATCACTCCAACGCCACAAAAAGCTTTTGATGTGGTGATCATAGACACCATCGGTCCTTTACAAAAATCTATATATGGCAACCAATATGCCGTGACTGTCATTTGTGATTTGACGAAATATTTGACAATTATCCCAGTACCAAACAAGGAAGCGAAGACTGTAGCAAGGGCCATTTTCGAACATTTCGTTTTGATTTACAGTACCATGAAATCGATCAGAACAGATTTAGGCACAGAGTACAAAAATCAAACGTTTGCTGAATTGTCAAAACTTTTGGAATTTGAACATAATTTTAGCACTCCCTATCATCATCAAACGGTGGGAACGGTAGAAAGAAACCACAGAGTTTTTAATGCACATCTTCGTTGTTATTTAAATGAAAATTTCGATAATTGGGATATTTACGCTAAATATTTCCAATTTTGCTACAATACCACGCCAAATTCTTCTTTAAAACACAAGTTCACGCCTTTTGAATTAGTTTTTGCTAGGGAGGCCAACATGCCTGATGATAAATTCGAATCGATAGAACCAGTGTACAACGTAGAAAATTATGTAAACGAGCTAAAATTTCGAATTCAAAGAACAAATAAGATGGCAAGAGAGATGCTCGTCAAGTATAAGGAAAGAATGAAAGAATTGTACGATAGGGATACGACAGAGATAGAGATAGGGATAGGAGAGAAAATAAAAATAAGGAATGAGGCTGGTCACAAGTTAGCAAATATGTACAAAGGCCCATTCACTGTCGTAAATGTAGATGGCGAGAACGTAACTGCCATTGATTTGAATAAGAAAAGTACTACGGTACATAAAAATAGAATTAAGAAATTTTTCGATTAATTTGCATTTTTGAACATGTCAAATTTCATCTTTTTAAATTTTTTCTAATTGCATTTCTAAACATGCTTATAATTTTTTTTTAAAAATTTTTGTTCCCTTATTTCAAATTGCATTTCTAAACATGCTTATAATTT